TCTGCAAATATCTGTATAGAGCCTATCATGTTTTATAATTATACTTTAATAATTATTCATTATACTATGTTAAGATAGGAACAGATGAGGCACTACACTAAATCAAGCCATAATAAGAAAAATGCTTTTAAATGCTCATAACTTTCAAATAGGTTTTGATACAAAACTAAAGCCTTATTTTGTTATCTTAATACTTTGACTAAAAGGTCAAGCTCTATAATATGGATTGATACAATTCCAATTTTATCAATATTTTGTGATAGAAAGTGTTAATATTTTTCATGAGCTATATAGTCCTTACATTTTTTCCCTTGGTGTGGGAATAACAGGGCAGTTTCCCTTCTGCTAACTACTCATATATGTACCTGTAAGAAAATTATGCCATATTTTCTAGCCATTACATATGATATAAATGGTGGTTTTTAGTAGCCTAATAGAAAACTACCACCATAACTTTTTGAAAATTAGAACTGTCAGCATGTCATTGGCTTACTTGATCTAAGCATAGTGATTGAATGGAGTTGTCATGACAAGGTACTTATTGCACTTAATAAATTTAAATGTATGTATTTCTTTTCCAATTTCTGATTAAGATCAATAAAAATAGTAGTGATTTCTTTTCCCTCACAACTTTCGCACAGCTTCTCTCTGAAAATTGCAACAACAAAAATGTTGTCAGGTGAGAAATGCCTATTATTTAATTTCTATTCGAGTATGTTTCACTTTAGATGTCAAATAAAATGGAGACTGCAAGAAATGCAAGACAAGTTATTTAAGTGTCTAAATAAAATATGTGAAGTATCTGTATGTTCTTCGTGGAAGTCCTCGTAAGAAACATGCAGGATAGGTTTTTAGCTTAGCTATACATTTTTGTCAGGAAGTTGCTATCATGTGAATATTAGAACTAAAAATAGCCCCCTAACTGAAAAAAACAAAAAGGCCTGATGTGAACTATTAGTGACAATTCAACATAGTTGGACCTCTGGTTGTTGCAGGTTTCTGATTTAAAAGCCTAGTCTTACAAACCTAGTCTTCTAATTTCCATAACTCGTTTATTGCAAATATGATTCCATAAAGCATTCTTCCCATCCCTGTAATAGTATTTTAACTGTAATACATTTTCTTTTTTTAAAAATATATTTTATTGATTTTTTACAGAGAGGAAGGGAGAGAGATAGAGAGTCAGAAACAACAATGAGAGAGAAACATCGACCAGCTGCCTCCTGCACATCTCCTACTGGGGATGTGCCCGCAACCAAGGTACATGCCCTTGACCGGAATCGAACCCGGGACCTTTCAGTCCGCAGGCCGACGCTCTATCCACTGAGTCAAACTGGTTTTGGCTGTAATACATTTTCTTAACACAAACAGTACAAAAGGATCAAAATAAAGTTTAAAAATTTTCATCTTACCCCCCAATTTGGATTACCTAAACAAAAAGCCATTCTCACTTCTTTCTCATTATTGTAATCTACAAAGATGTGTAGACATAATTCTTTTGAAAGTAAGAAAACTTCTCTACAAGGTTATCTTTCCACCACCACACACCATTACTAAATTTATTGGATTTTTATAGTGCTTTGTTTAATAAAAAATATAAAGTATTTCATGCTGATAATTGGATAAAATAGTAAATATAAGTTTTAAATTAAATAATATAATGAATAATTCCATGTTTTAATAAAATCGTTAATATTTAGTGTCAAAATAAGACATTCATCTTTTGAGTCTACAAAGGAACACTAGAATTGATAATGAAATAATTATATGATAGCCAGGCAGTCTTGCTAACCTTCTTGGATTGGTCTCTTGTGGATGAGATGTTAAATCCAGGGTCTTTGGTTTGGTTTCCCAATCAATTACATTAAAATAATTTTTTGTTACTAAATTTTATGTTCCAGAGATCCTCTATGTTAAGGAATAGCTTTTTCAATATAATGCTGTGATTCAATAACTGTTTTGCTAACACAATCAGTGTTGGATGCTCCTAGCTCATTTGTACCAGATATAATAAGTCAGACCAATTTCTTAAAATAGGAAAATATATAGGCTTTATGAGGTAGTTCTCTAAAGGAGTCTGATGAGCCAGCCATGTTATGAGCAGTTGTTATTGGGACCTAGGATGACAGGGTTTTGGGATCAGATAGGTAATGATTAGGACTTACATATGGGCAAAATGGGATAGTTTAAATATTGCCAATTGGTCCAAAATTTAAAATGAAGCAGAGCTCTCTTTGAAATAGTTATGTGGGAAATGTTTAAAGAGAAAGGTACACAACTGGAACAAAGCAGGTGAAATATTTTTCATTTGGGATTATCTAGTGCTACAGTCTTGACCCTACAAGTGTCACAATTTCTTTTCCAGAGCCTCTAAACTGCCAATAACACTAGCCAGTTCTTATCTAGGATCCAAGGTTCTAAGAGACCTTCTTAAACCAGTATCAAATTTACAAGCTAATTATATTTTGAAGAACAGAATGGAGCCGAACACAGTTAGAAACATTCTCTAATCCAATGATATTCTAGAGCACTGATTTTCTACATATTCTCCAAAAGAATCCCTATTAAGAGCCAAAAAACCTTATTGGATAGAATTAGGAAAGCATTTTTTTTTATTCTCACCAACATATCTGAACAAGTTGTCTGAACAAAATATCTAAACAAGAGGATTATTTTGTTCCTCTGACTTTATGTGAGATGAGTCATTTTTTCCCTGTAAGTAGGCATATTTAAGATTAAGAATTTTGCTATATATTCTTTCAAAAAATGTCTGGGATTTACTTCAAATTAAACCAGTGAGAGTAGGGGGCTTCATAATAAATCAGGTAGGTAGGAGGGTACAGAGAGGAGTGAAGAATATAAACAAAACAGAGTTGGCCACAAAATGATGACTGAAGCTGGGTGGTGGCTACATACTGTAGGGGTTCATTATATTCTTCTATTTTTATTTTTATTCTTTTAAAATATATTTTATTGATTTTTTACAGAGAGGAAGGGAGAGGGATAGAGAATTAGAAACATCGATGAGAGAGAAATATTGATCAGCTGCCTCCTGCACACTCCCTACTGGGTATGTGTCCACAACCAAGGTATGTGCCCTTTACCGGAATTGAACCTGGGACCCTTGAGTCTGCAGGCCAACGCTCTATCCACTGAGCCAAACTGGTTAGGGCTCTTCTATTTTTACATATGGTTGAAAATTTTCTGTGATAAAAAGTTATATAACATGTATTTTTCATACTATATATTTTTTCTCAATCCTCACCCACTACCATACATTTTTTTCCAATCCTCACCCAGGGACATGCTTAGGGAAAAGAAGGGAGTGAGAGAGAACCGAGGATAGGACCCGAAACGAGTTGGCCTTGGCCAGGAATCGAACCATCGAACTAGCAACCTTTTGGTATACAGGATGTTTTGGCCAGGAATCGAACATTGAACTAGCAACCTTTTGGTGCACAAGATGACGCCCAACTGACAGCCATCCTAGCTTGGCTCTATCATATATATTTTTAAGGGCAGTTCAAGTTTCAAACTGGTGGTTGTCCTATATAAGCATGAGTTGAATTTAAGAGCTGTACCTGAGCGACAATAGCAATTGACAGTAGCAATCTTTTCCTCTCTATCATGGTATAGGCCATTTAGAAGTGAAAATCAGAAAAATCCATTTCCACAAAATGGTCCTGAACTGTTCTGGGAAAATGCTTTTAAAATAATTACCAAGTTATTTCTCTTTCTTATGATGGTACTTTGATCTGCATTGTTAGGGTGAAATCTGTTTTGTCATAAGATAGGCCTGTGCCAGTAATATTTGTATTTTTAAGACAATTTTGTTTGTAATATAAGCTAAAATTTTATTTGTTCCATCTTGAATGAGGTTTTCTAGACCCAATTTATAAGTGAAAGAAAGAAAATCCATCTATTTTTCTCCAGCTTCACTGTAACCACAAATAATTGGAAAATCTCTTTATATGGAGCTCTACTTCCTTCGGCTCCTCTACAATATATTCCTTACACAACCTGCACAGTGATCTTCAAAATGTAAATCATGTTACATATTCCCTTCCTTAATACTCTCCAATGGCTTCCCATTTCAAATTCTCACAGGTTTCATCTCTCATCAGTCCCCCTTACCATGATCCAGCCAAAGCTGGTCCATCTCTGGTTATTTGCATTTGTACATTTATCTGCCTTGAATGCTATTCCACAGGATATTCATATGACCTGGCTCTTCTTTTCACTCATGTCTCAGCTCAAATGCCATGTCCATCGCTATCTGTTTAAACAAAGTTGCCAAAGTGTACCAGAATCACCTTGGGGACTTTTAACACCTTTTTACTCTTATGGAGCTTACTAGAAATGCAGAATTGAAGGCCCTATCCCACACCTACTGAATCAGAATATGTATTTTAACAAGATCCCTAGATAAACTATATAGATATTAAAGCTTAAAAAAGCACTGGTCTAACATGTAATGACTAACATATTCTTTTTTGTTAGTGATCATTAAAAGGCAATTAACCAAACTGACAGTCTTAAGCAACAGTGCTCTTTAGGTACATTAATTCTACTGAATGATAACTAGTTTGAATATAGATTATTTTTATGCTCATTTGCAGAAGTCTTTCCCAAGTACTTAATAGTTTTCCTTTAAAATGTATTTTGCTCTATTAGAAACATAATTTTAGATTCATTTCTCAAGATTGTGTTACTTAAGCAGGTTAAAAATATTTAGTTTTCTCCATAATATTAAATATCAAGTCTTAAGATGGGCACTTTTATAGCATTCTGTCATGGTTTTAGCAAAAATTTGTATTTTTGAGGAATAATCAGGTCATAATCATTACAATTTTTTAAAATTCTTAACTTGTATTGTTGCTAATGCACAAAATTCTACATGTTAATCTGCAGACCAAATTGCCTAAGAGCAACTTTAAGTGAAAAGTCTCTTAATAAAGAATGAACCTTACAGCAAAAACTTTAAATAAATTTGTACAACCTTGAAGTGCAATAAATGCTTTTTATTGTATGCTCATTTCAATGAGTAACATTTAGAAATAATCCCACGTAACAGAGACAATCTTATTTTACAGCGTGTACATCATTTACAGTCACATAACACACAATTTTAGATTTTCCAAATTTAATATTCTGAAGTTAAGAAAGATAAAAAATTTATTCTCAAGAAACTGATTCTTATCTGGTGCAAAAAAACAGAAAGGTGAACATTAGTTGAAATACAAAGCCACAATATAGTATGAAGTAAAATTACATTTTAATAATGTTGAACAGCTGAGTGTAAACATGAAGCAACTAAAACTTAAAAGTACACATCATATGCAATACATTTATGAACAGGATTTCATTAAATTTCCCTAAACCAGCTTTTTATATTAAGCGCCATTTTGATTTCCAGCATGCTAACACAAAGCGTTGTTAAAGGGATGCATATTTTAAATTTATACACTGTAAACTGAATATCCACTTCTGAATTCTATTGGCAGCACAGTGTTTTGTTAAATACTGCATAAACACTGCCTCGTATTGAAAATGCATGTTAATTATATGGTATATATATAGATTTTAAAAATCAAAATTTTCAAGAATGGCATAAAATTGCACCTTTAAACATTAGAGCAAGTAAGGCTAGAACCATCATACTTGCTAATTGTCCTAAAAAAAACCCTAAACATTATAATATTTAAGAAAACTGAGTTCTCTCAATTTAATCTTTAGATCATTAAGAAATATAGTGCTAACTTTGTTTGCAACACTACTGGTTGCATTCGTTTTAGAAAGCCATATTTGACTCAAATATATGCTTGTCATATATGCCATACTGAACAATAACCAACTCAAACAGCATAAAAAAGGGAACTTTAATCCTCAGAGTTTAGCACAGAATGCTTTATTTTAAACATCCTGTCCTGTGATAAAACTTTAGCAGCTCTGAAATTCTTTTTAATAGTATTGAATTAATCTAACCTGTTTTTCAGTGAAAGTTATTTTAATGAATACATAAACTTTTAGATTTCTGGAATTCAATTTCCAGGTACCATATAAAAGGCTCAATGACAAAATGCCTGATGGATGACTGCATTTTATTTCCCACCCATTTCTAAAATTGCATAAAAGTGAGGCTTGTCATAGCAAAGCATTGCTAAACTCCTAAATTATGTAAGATTTTTTTCAGAATCATGTTTCTAGTATGATCAGCCAAATAAAGTCATTGTCTTTGCTCTTCCCTTCTGTAGTTTATGCATATAATCCTATTAAATTGACACTTAATAGGGTTTTCTACAACCATTCTATGGTGCTTCTTAAATTCTTTAAGTAATTTTCAAAGGGCTATGAGATACCCTGTCAATTCAAATATTTTTAATACAAAGAATGTAAAGTTATGATTTAATATCAACTTTGTAACCAGATGAAAAGGTTTATGAAGTTTTACTGCTATGTAGCATATCATATTTTCCAGAGTTTCTTTCTTTATATTGGTCTTATTACATAAGAGCCTCCTTGTGGTGCCTCATAATATGCTGATTTTTTTCTGATGGTCTTCGGAATCCCTTTTTGCAGAATTCACACCTGTGTGGATAGTCTTTTGTATGTATTGATATCACATGTCGTTTAAAGCCAGATGCATCTGTTGTACTGTACTCACAATACTCACATTGGTAAATCTTCCTTCCAGTGTGGGTCTTCATATGCTTTTTCAGCTCATTTTGTTGTCTGAACCCTCTCTTGCACCTTTTACACTTCAATGACTGATCCTTAGTATGAACTGAAAGGATATGACCACTAAGAATAAATGGATCTGATGTTTTAAAGTCACAGTGCCTACACTGATGAATCTTCCTACCCTTATGGATATCACTATGCTTTTTGAGCTCAGAAGGACGATGGAAACCTTTATCACAAACCTCACATTTGTGAGGAAAATCCTTAGTGTGGACAGATATGATGTGCCGCTTTAGGTCACTTGAGTTGGTGCTCTTATGGTCACAATGAGGACACTGGTGTGTCTTATGTCCTTGAAATAAATCCAAATGGCGTTGAAGCTCCCTTTCATCACCAAATGCTTGGGGACAATGCTCACACTTATATGGCAAATTGTTACCATGCTTAGACTTAATGTGAGTTTTCAGATTTGATTGATCTGCACACCTGAAAACACAATACTGACACTGATATGGCTTCTCACCAGTATGGGTTCTCATGTGTTTTTTGAGTTCAGAAGGATGTCGAAAGCCCTTCCCACACTCAACACAAACATGTGGAAAATTCTTGCTGTGAACAGCCAGTAAATGTCTGTTTAATAGTCCTTGTTCTGCAGTTTCATAGTCACAGTATTTGCACTTGTGCATCTTCGGCTCCTTATCTCTTAGTATAAGTTTATTTGAACTCAGTGGACTAGCCTCTCTGTATCTTCGTGTATATTCTGTAAACTCATGGGTTTTGTCAACTTTGTTTATAAGCTTATGGCTTTCTAAGTGGTTATGGAAACTCACTTTCTTGTTAGTTGTAAAGTCACAATCTGTACACTGATATTTTTTTCTCATCAAATGATCAGGATGATTCTTCATGTGTCTTTTCAAGAATCCCCTTGATTTAAACTTTTTTGTGCAAATATGGCAAGGATATACTGTCAAGGGTTGTCCATCAGGGCCTATTATAACAGCTAGATTAAAAAAAATAGGGAAGTTGTGACATTTAGCCAGATTGTTTAAAAAGATTTTACAACAAAAGTGCCAATATTCACACTGTGAGAACTATACTAGTGGAATAAAATTTTCTCAGATAAAATGCACATTAAAAGCAATTTATGATAAAATAGCTCACACAAATTAATGAGCAGCACTCTGCTATATATTATTCATCTGCCAAAATACTGTATCACATGCACTTTGTAAACTAGAAACAGGTACCCTTTATTGTTAAACCAACCTGACAATTCCCTTTTAAAACACCATTTGGGTAAAGAGCAAACAAGTATAGTTTTATTAAGTATGAGTCAAACACATTTAAAGAAACACAACTATTTAGATCAAACACAAACAGGTACGTGGGAGTAGAGCTATACTATAAACAACTGATAATTTCTTCAATTACAAAAAAAATAACTCTACTTTTCAAATTATTATATCAATAAAGCAAAGTATTAGTATTTTACCTGTTTGCCACTGCCTCATTTCTCCTCTTCTCCTCTTCTTGGCTTTTTGTTTAAGTACTTTATTTGTATTAATGCTATCACAAATTTGAAGGTACTGTGCTGCTGTACTACTTCTGTTTTCTAATGTTGAGTCCAAAGTATTTCCTGAAAAATTGGTACACAATTAAACTACATATAGTTATACATTTTTGGATTTTGTTAGATGAATTACTAGAGATGACATGGCATCAGGTTGCCCTTATGGTACTGAATTTAACATTGTGGTATTACATTCCACAAAGTATACCTATGTTATCCTCTTTTACACTCTTATATACACACACATGTGCAAACACTTTAAATAAGATATTGCATGAAATAAATTTTAAAATATCCCAATTTATTCATCCTAAAGGAATAAACTGACAAGGTGAACATAATATAAAAAGTTGTTATGACCCTAAACAAAATCTTGGCATCAGATCAATTTATCACCAATGAAGGCTGATGAAAATTAAAGAGATTTAGAAAAGAAATACATGTGTCAGTGAACCTATATAGTCATGGTGACTATGTGTAACACATAAACATCTCATATATACGATTTAGAATAGTTTACGTAATGTGAAAAGTATTAAGATGCATTTTAAGATAGATGTGGTGAGAAACTAAGATGGCAGCATAGATAAACACCGGGAAATTGCTGCCGCTCACAACAATAGAATAATACCTCAGAAACACAATACGGACATCATCCAGAACCACAGGAAGCCTGGCTGACTAAATTCTACAACTAGAAGGAAAGAAAAGCACACTGAGACCCAGAGGAGCTGCAGAAGTAAAGCGCAGAGGTACCGAGGCTCGAGCGCATGGAAAGGGGCTGGCACCTGAGGACGCGGCTGTCTTTTTGAATCGGGAGGGAGTG